CGACTGTGACTCAGCAATTAGCTGTGAAAGCGGTTTCGTGTACTGCATCCAAATAAAACACCGAGTACACGTAGACTGAGTAGGGAGAGAGTTAACAGCGAGTAACCGAATGAATTTTCTAGGATGATCAGCACATTTCCATGAAGTACTGTAGCTCCAGGTTGTTACCAAGTATCTGAGACTATGAAAAGAAATTGTGAAAGTGAATGCAGTAGATGAACAAAGCGAATTACTGTGCAGTGTTCATGCAGTATCAAGCAAACACTTGGAAGATCTCTTGGACAGCGCAAAAAGAACTCTTTAAATCCTTGCTGCACGTCTAACTTATTCCTCCGCTGCATATTTAGTTTTTACTAAAGTCGCCAAACTCTCTGGAATATTTTAGTCCTTGATCAGTCCTGAAGACTCAAAAGGAGGTTGATTGATACGCTTTTTTGTAGTTCCGCCTTCCTGTAAAGTTATCGTTAAATATATATTATCGTTTACAGACCGAATAAATTTTCGCTGACGGTGTTTACAAACGAACATTCAGATGAGGGCAAGAAAGCTCAGCAGAAGCTTTGGGATCGTAAAATCAAGGGTTATCGATGCGCAACTTTGCAGTTCTTGTGGTTAGAGGTACGTTAGTACTTGAAGCACAAGATTAGCTTTAATTACATCTTTGTTGCCTAAAGTCCCTTCAAGCGATGAGGTATTCTTTTCATTTTTCCTTTCTTGCTTCTAGTTGTGGGCGTAATTGCTTCCGTCTTAGCTACGGCTTTGCATGCTTTAAGACGCCTTTTTTTTCGGTTACTTTATTCATATTGTGGTTTTCGGACTAGCATTAATAATCGTGATATCACTACTGCCCTTTCCAGATTGAAAATCAAACTGTTCTTCCGCTTAGTATTTTTTGCGAAAGTTTGCGGTTTGCGCACAACAATTCATTGTAGTTTGGCAGTGATATAGCCAGACACAGTACATTAGCGTGCGATAGCATATGTGTAAGTACTTGCTTTGCTAACAGATGTTTTGCAGACTGATACTTTGGTTTACGCGCAGTTCGAACGGTTGAGAGGGAACAACGAGTTATTTGATTCTGAGGATCGTTGTCCGGCAACCGGTCACATCGATTGCGATAACGCTAACTAACTGATTGATTTGATCCACTACTTTTGATTGAGAACTGTTTCAGTCTTTAAATCTGCGCTTCATCAATGTTTTCATCTAGATGGTTCTGATAGCTCGCACTGTGTCTGGGAGTGCACTGGTAAACTTCCTCTGAAATTACCGGGGAATGGACATGGGCTGTGTGGACGATTTCACCATTACGCTCCCGCAGAAGGTAGTTTAGACGAGAATTAGCAGTATACGACACGTATTGTTGTGCTTGGCCGCCCGGACAGTCTTTAAAGACCTCGACGACCGCTAAGTTCTCAAATGAGAATATTTTTCCTTTTGTGTGACATATCTCTTTCTCTGTCTCTGAACAACCCCTTAACAATGGGCATCATACGCGAGCGAGTCAGTCCAGGGTTTATGCGAGTTTGGTGAAACATTTGGAATGCGTGGGCTTCCAGCTAGTTTATTTCGTTTTGTGCTCTCTCCCTATCAGCATCTCCAGTTTAGTGTGCTTGTGTTCCTCCTGTATTCCCGTGCTTTTACTGAAAAATACTTCCTAAACTGATTTACGCAAAATCAGTTGTTGCTTGGGTCAGTAGGCCAGCTTTTAATGTTTCTTTTTTCTGTAGGTCTTTCTACACTTTCTAATTTTTGTCGCCCTCTTGCTTCCTTCTATCACTTATCCTACTGACTGGTCCCGTTGTTACGTGTAATGCATCGCATATCATGATGTCACTACTTTCAGGATTAATTCGGGCCATTTTGAATCTTTTGTTCTTTCGGGCTCTTTCTTTGTGTCACTGATTATTCGTCAGTCTTTTTGTTCGTCATGCCAGTGGAATAATGCGTTGCTCCACTGTCAGCAGTCCGGTAGCGTTACATTACAGTAGCGCCTTGCAGATGATAAAGAGTGTCGCCGATTAACGTTACCGAGCCAGAAAAAAACCACTTGTTCTCCTCTACCTACGTCATGTTCGTTCAAATAGCCGCTGGCATTTTGCATTTGAATTTCCCTGAGTGAATGCATCAACTGTTGTCCTGCATCTGAAGCAGCATCCTGAGCAGGGACTATCCGCAGCGGCTGACCGCTACTTGGCATTGCGCCACCACGTAGAGCTCCCCTCCCACTGAGCTTTTAAATAAATGCCTACATAAGTGACGCTCATGCGTATCGGCTCAGCAACTGTTCTGTTATCTTTCGTAATTGTGCAACTGTTGCCCTGTGCGCGAAAAGCGGCCCAGATTACCTCTCGACATTATAATGCATTGTTCACATCGAAATAATCCTACAGCGAATGTGACGCACCAGGCTTACCGGTGCGTCCGTGTGTAAAACCTAGAATGTGACGCACTAGGCTTACCGGTGCGTCCGTGTGTTTCTGCACTAAACTTGAAACAGTCAGGTCGTTAACTGTATAAATTGTTGCTGCTTTACATTTTAACGTATGTACTTACTATCGTAAATAATCGTAAAATTTGCGTAAAAGAATATAATTTTCAGTGCCCAGTCGTTTATTATGCATTTTTACATATATGCAAATGCAAAAACGCATATTGGTAAGAGGTTGTCGCGTGTGTATTTATGGGTGTGTTTGTATGTTCGCACTTCTTGTCACCCACTTTCAGCTCAAGAACCTTTCGGGAGCATGTGCTTGCCACCTGTGCGACTCTCCCTTTTTATGCGTTTTTTGCATCTATGCAATGCAAAAACGCATATTGTCGAGGGGTTGTCTGTGTGTGTGTGTCTGTGTGTGTGTATGTGTGTCTGTGTGTGCGTCTGTAATGAGTTTTCATCTCGAGATCCACAATAGCTACAAGACTAAAAATTTGGTGACTTAATCTAGACATGCAGACTCGTATCCTCAAAATGGACGCTCTGGTCCGCGTGGTTCTCACGTAGGGGCACGTGAAAGTTTTTT